CCGCTCCGTCGAATCACGAGTGCCCCCGATGCTAAGACGGAAAACGGAGCCGGATACAGAAATACAGGAATACAGGAGTGGAACACGCCCGAGAAGCGCCTCGTTATGCGTGAGATTGAGATACTCCGTTCCTTCGAAACACGGAAGCGCCCGCTGTTACGGAGGGTGACGGAGTCAGGAGTGAATACGGGAGACCGGTGCGGGAAATAGTAACATATGTACACCGGGGAGCACCCCGTTAGGTGTACGTTATTGCGGGCCGGGGCGCACGACGGAGTAGCGCCTCCGCTGACATGCGCTCCGGTGTGGTATACAGCCGATTCACAGGAGCACCTGTGTTTTCGGCGTCTACCGCAGTGGATGTGGGAGGCATCCACCGCCGGATGTCTTCGCTCGGAGCGCCGAGGCAAGACTGAATTATTTTATAATTTTCCGGAGGGCTTTTATACCCTCCAGAGTATAGGCGCGCGGGGTAGAGACGGCAGGGGAAGGTGCTGCGTTGTTAATTTCGGTTGTCATGGCAACCGCGTCGCTAGTGCTCTCTCACTCGCACCCGCGCTGTTGTCGCGCTCACTCGCACATCGTCGTGCGTTCTCTCTCTAGCGCCCGCGCCTTCCCTGTCGCCTCCGTCACAAATGATTTATTAATTGGTTAAAACTGATCAAAATATAATAATTTTTTAAGAAAACGCATTTTAATTAAAAAATATTTATTTACGAAGGATATATCAATAGAAAGCACATTATTTTAATTAAAAGAATATAAACGATTTTTTTTACAAAACCTTAATTTTAGTAATATTTAAGTACTTATAAGCTACATGAATTTTCAAAATCTTGTAATACTTTACCAAATGCGATTTCAGTTCACTCATAACTTTTTCAATGTCATTTAAATTGTACACAACTTTGTAATTAAAATCTTTCAGCATGCTTTCGGTTGGTTAAAAATCATGACAACAAGTATTCTTCGCATAGAAATGTAATCTAATTTGTAAAATCGCATCCAGCATTGTTAACAACATTCTGTTTCTGATTTTTGTTTTTACAATGTTTATTATTGAGAACACTCTCTCGACAACTGCGTTGCTCGAAGGCAACGATAACAATTTTAGCATATACAATGCTAATTCACGAAAAATAAATTTTCCACCTGCATTTTTATAAATATACAAAGCTGGCCAGAATGAATAACTATTTTCAAGTGCTTTCTCGGCGAAAATTTCAGTCCAATCAATGCTCAATAATTTATTGTACTGATTTTCAATTATACCTAGGGCATCTGGAGTAACAAACTGCTTAAGAAGAGGCAAATTCTTGAACTTCGGACGTATTTGATTTAGACACACTGATGGAGATACTGATTTTAGATTTTAATAAAAGGCCAGATTTGTTGGTAGTCTGCTGGAGAGTTGCATACATAAGGTCTTAATGTATCTATAAGCTCGTGTTTCAACCTGAAATTTAGATTCTTGGGATATATGGTAACAATCGACGTCAATACAGAATAATATTCTATACCAAAATCAGCATCTTTAACTGGTAAGAATGCTAATTCATTATCTAAAGATTCGAAAACCAAATTTGAATCTGTTAAGAAAGACGGTTTCCAGCTAATTATTTTTCCAGCTAATAAAATTATCAAATCTTTCAAGTCGTCGTATGCTAATCCAAGATCTACATTCTCTCGTTGAAAGGATAAGTTAACATCGTTGATCTCATATAAAATTGGCTTAATTATCGTGAGATATAAAAAGTTACTATTATCCTGTAACATTTGACATAAGAGTCTTGAGGTACAGCATTTTTCAGAATCAACAACCAAATTAAAATGAGTTTGTAATTCCAAATGATGTTCTAAAATTACTCTTGTGACATTAAATCTAGCTAACCATCTGGTACTGGATAGTTTCACAAATTTATGAAAATCTTTCTGAAAATCATTTTTATTACTTTTATCACTTATATTCATTGTATCCCAAGTTAATTTGTATGCTGATCTTCTGAAACTACTATTATTAAACCAGTTATACACTTCTCTACAAAGAAATTCTACTGAAGCTGGGAATTCCTCAGCAGCAGCCGATGCAGCATTATTCAATGCATGACAAACACATCTGACTAACAATAAGTGTAAATTTGGATTTTTTTATTTTAGTAGTGTAAATAATAAATGCTTTTTACCACATAAATTGCTTCCACCATCTGTACCTAAGCCAATCATTTTAGATAAATTTAATCCGAAATCTTTACAATACTCAATAACTGCGTTATGCAAAGAATTAGCATCCCCATGCTCGATTTGAATAATACCTAAATATTCTGTAACTATTCGGTTTCGTGTACGACTAAAATACTTAACGCATAAACATAAATATTTAGCTACTGACACATCTGTAGATTCGTCAACCATCATAGAGTATTCTGTGTCACCAATATCTTTAATTAAGTTAGTTAATATATTTGGAGCAATTACATTTGTGATGAGGTTACTGCATTTCGTTCTGTGCATTTGAAAATTCTTACACTCTAGATATGAACTTTGTAAAATATTGCAAAGGTGATCAATACTCCTAATACTCGTATGAGAAGCTACAAATGCTGCAATCTTTAAGTCTCTCTCTTTTTCTTCTTTCTTATGTTGAACATTGCACATTGAGGAAATAGCTTTTTTGCACGTTAATATTTACATTTTTCATTGCAGCGTCATGACTAGGTACTGTACTGTGTTTCTTCAAATCGTTAGCTTGAGCTCGCAGCGTTTTAAAGCAAACTTTGCAGTAGGCTTGATTTGAATCATTCCTGTTGTTTTCGGCTTCGGCTTTAGTCAGCCAACCTAGAAATAGAATTTATAATCTGATAAT